GGAGTGAAAATAGGTGGAAGAAATATCAACAATCTGAGATACGCTGATGATACCATAATACTAGCACAAAACCTTACAGACCTGGAACACCTACTAAGGAAGATAAAAAAAAAGTGCAAAGGCAGGCTTAATGTTGAATATAAAGAAAACAAAAACAAAAAAAATGACCATCAAGGACCTTCACAAGTTCAACTTTGACAATGAAGAAATAGAAATAGTAAAAGAATTCCCATAACTGGGATTAAACATTGATAGAAATGGGAACTGAAGTCAGGAAATCAGAAGAAGTCTAAGAATGGGGAGGGTGGTCATGAAAGAACTAGAAAAGATTCTAAAATGTAAAGATATACAACTCAGCACAAAATTTAGAATCATACAAGCCATCGTATTCCCTACTACCATGTATGGATATGAGAGGTGGACAGTTAAGAAAGATGATAGGAAGAAAATCATTGCATTTGAGATAATGTGGTGCTGGAGAAGAGTGTTGAGGATCCCATGGACAGCCAAAAAGACAAACAAATGGGTCCTAGAACAGATCAAGCCAGAAACCTCCCTGGTAGCCAAGATGATCAATCTGAGGCTGTCATACTTCCGGACACATCATGAGAAGGGAGGACATTGAAAAAGACAATAATGCTGGGAAAGATGGAAGTAGGAAGATAGGAAGGCCACATGCCAGATGAATGGACTCTATTAAGGAGGTCACATGTATTAAGGGGTTTCAGGAGGACAGAGGGTCTTGGAGATGTCTCCTCCATAGGATTGCCATGGGTCGAGATTGACTTGAGGGCAGTTAACAACAACAAACAACAAATGAAGTTGTATCCTCCGCAGGTATAAACACATGTAAGCATAGAGAAGAATATAAGTAATGTGGTCAGAATGAAATGGGAGAAAAACAGACTGTGATGACTGTATTAAGGCTTAAATATATTTAAAATCAGTGTAGTAGCTATTCACAAAGCAGCACTGATGATAACGAACAATATGGCACTAGTACCTTAATTAACATCTATGGAAAAATAAAATAAAAATCCATTATCTTATTTAAGGCTGTAGGTGATGAAGTTCTTGAGTCATGTTTACATTAAGCGAGGCATCCAAAATGAAAAGGGGCATACCTACTGCCTCCTTCAATTTGCACTGATAGCATCAAATGAGGAATTTGGAAAGAAACAAACTAAGAAGTAGCCTCATATTATGGATCTGAAATATCCTGCTCTTTTTAAGAGAGATAAAATTAAAATCCCAGTGTAAGAAAATCCTTAGAATCCTTAGAAGCATTTGTTAAATCAATTAAGTTTAACATGGTGTAAAATCCAATCCATGCTGCCAAATTTATTGCTGTGATTTTAAGGGCTTTAACTTAGTCCAGTTAGAACTGTCAGCCACTTATCATAGAAAGATAGATAGATAGATCTAGATAGACAGACAGACAGACAGACAGACAGATAGATAGAGATACACACATTCTATGGCTACTTTCACAAATCACAGAAAAGGGTTAAGGAAACTAATCACAAAATTGAGGAAGCAGGTTGCCTAAGAAAGGGCAAGTGAAATTCTTATTTTGAGAAATTTCTAAAGTATTCAGAAAATTAGAGTTATTTTACCAGAGAATCTTTGATATAGACATTGGCCATGTTCAGCCATCATGGTTCAGACAAGAAACCATGGACACAAGAAGAAATACTGTGCTCATGCAGGCTGTCCAGTTATCCCTACTTATAGCCAAGTGGGTAAATAAGCCACAGACGGTTAGTCCATTCAAATGCAGAATTAGTTAGTGCTCTGGCTTGTTGCCACTCCACCTCCATACAACAGGGAGAGGGAAACCATAGAACAAACTTTGATTTGTGGCTTTTTTAGCTGTACCTGGCACAAGGCAGAGCAATC